GGTTAGTACATTTCTGCAGTGCAAGTGGAATAACCCAAGTCAACTACTATGTAGTCTTCCTTTAGCTCTTAATCATATATCTAAGGGAAACATATACCAGGACATTACAACTTCTTTCTTTTATGTTTTTTTTGTACTATATACAAACTCTTTTTATATTTTCTGTCATATTTTTTAATAATCTTTAATAACATCTTTCTTTAACTCTTTGTACTCTGTATAAACTACTGGAATCAGAAGGAGTAATCCCAAAGGATAAATAAAGCTAAGTCTAAAAGCTTCATCCTTTTTGGTTCTGTTGCACTTTATTTTGATTTTAATGCCTCTTCTTTTAATTTATTTTTCCTTCTAAACCTTCAACGTATACAGCAAACATTGCAATATCAGCTTAAGCAACCTGTATATTATAAATATCTGTAGTTAATTAAATAATGTAGACTAAGATTTCTGTGACTTTAGCATATTCAGTGAGATTAGATTACAGCAAAAGGTTTGACTAGAAAAAGAAGTGGTATGGTGGCCAAGTCTCTACAAACTACAATCAAGCCGTTTCATGTAAAAACATCAGCCGTCCATCACAAGCAGCTTTTGGGATAAAACCTCTTGGCCAAGATTGAAAAGCAAAATGCAGTAGCAGCTGAGTAGATAACTTATCATTTGTAATGTTTATTTAGTGTGACATGATTAACCTTATCATGCATCACACACCCATTCAGAACTATTTTTATGTTTATCAATAAACATGTGGTGGGCTCGATGCCCTATTTTCTCTGCCATGTTGGGATTCACCCATTGACAAGGCATTTAGCTGCTGATCTATGCATAAGTGTGCGTGTTGGTGTAGTGAGAAATGCTTTGATTGGCCTCCATGACTAGAAAAGCTCTGCATAAATTCTGATGATTTAAATTAAAGACTAAGTTTTTCAAATGCTCTGATATTATCTAGTTTCTACTTTATATGATCCGTTTACCAATATTAATCAAGTTTGTTCTATTTTAGCTTTAATTTGATATAAAGTATTTTACTTGATCTAAATAAATTTTACCCTAAATGGAAAAAATAATATTTGGTTTGGTTCTACTGCATTTCTAAATGTGATTTTAAGGTCTTTAAACTACTCTTTTTTTAAATGCACATGTTTAATTTTCTAAAACTTTTTTATTCAATCAGAAATGAAATGCCTTTTATTTTGCTCTCCTGTCATTTCACTACGGTTGATTTTCATTACTTTGCATTTATCTCTTTGATAGATGTTTTTATTCAGTTCTAGTTCTGCTGCTCTTTTAAAACTTTTGTCAACATTTTAGGCACTTTTTTCTTGTTTGCTTATTAATTTTCACCAGTTTTCCAGTGTATGTGTATATCTTGCATTGTTTATATTTGCAACAGGTGTTTTTTTTTGTGTGTGTGTGTGTGTGAATTATCTCAGTCCTCACGTTTACATGCCATTCTACTTTGATGAATATTACTTCACATGCTTTAGCAGGTTTTGGTATGCTTGTCTTTTGCATGCTTTTGCACCTCTGTAGAGCCAGTCTGGGTAAGATTTCACAATTCCCAAAGTGATATTTTATTTAAATTCAATGAATGAAGCTCTAGTTTGGTTTAAAGCAGTAAATCTGATGAATCAAAACTGTTTAAAAAACGAATCCTAGCCTCCAATGTAGGAGAAAGTAGTAAAATTAGGATTAAAGGATTGAAAATTAGAGCAACTACCGGATTGCTGCCTTCACATAATCCCTTTTGATGAATTAACTGTAAGGTCCAGAAGATTTGTGCAAATAACACTCACCCGCGTTTAGCATCAAGTGCTTTTAATTTGACTTGTAAAGCGTCCACTTACCGCATAAGCAGAAACAGTTGTTACTGTGCGCTCTGGCGAGCGGAGCGCGGAAGTCTTCGCAGCAGCGCAGCTCCTAGCGCCTCAGACTGGGACCGAGTGTCGACAGAACCAACGACTTCCAGGAGACTTTTGGTTGCATCCGACAAAGGAAGAAACTTTGTGTCGAAGTCCGGAGCCCGGCGCCGCTACCGAACAACACCCCCCCAGCACATCCGTTCAGTTTCTTTTCTGGTAAAAAGAAGGAAAGCAGGACCCCGGAGCAGCCGAGCGTCTTCTGGTACCTGGCTATCACCTGAGGCTACAGCTAACGCCGCAGCAGGGGACCCACCCACAGGTGCGTCTTGACGTCACCTCAGGTAGATGTAAAAAAAAAAAAAAAAAAATGAAATAGAATCAAGGTTCTCAAAAAGAAAGGATAAATACAAAATAAACAAAATAAAAAAAAATTATTCGGGAAACTAAACAAAAGAATAATAAAAACAAAAAAACAGAAGCAAATAAAAAAGTGAAATATTTCATTGCTTGAAATATTAACTGCACCAAAGAGCCTCTTGTAGCCTACCCATGGACACCTAAGATTGAACTCATAAAAACTTGAGCATTTCTGAATATGAAAGCTAAAAGGGGAACAACTTACATTTTATATCATTATTAAATTGAAAAGGAAAAAATATGGTTTCAGTGCATACAATAATAAGACATTTATTTAGTATAATGTCTTTAGTAGGGGCCAGGACCATTTCCACATGGGCCCCTGTCTGGAACTGCCCATGTCTATATAGAGTGGTTCTCTACTTTAACTCTATACACAGATGGGTAGGACCTAATTCTATTTACTCTGTTACATTTAAGTAACGTTTGAACAAATATGTAATTTCAGGACTAGTTTTACCATGCCATACTTTTGACTTTTACATAAATAACATTATCATGGTGCATCCCTACTTTCACTTGAGTAAAATCCGTGAATACTAGACTTTTTTGTACACAGTCTTTGTTGTTTTAATGGTAATTCTATCTGCTGATATAGAAGTTAAAGTAATAAAAAGTAAAAAGTATGCATTGTAACTGGAGGTACATACATACACTGTATACTGTAAAAAATGGTTTTCAATGTTTTAGGTAAAGAAAGATTTTGAGAAGTGTTTCTTTATTTTCCAATGATTTTTTGTTTGTATTCAATAGTTTTAGGATTTAAAACAAAGGAGTTTTCACACAGCTTTATATTATGGTCTTTCAGATTACATCTTTGTAAACAATAAAACTACTTGTAACTACATGTAAGAGTAAAAAATACTTTTTTTTACTCTTACACGATTCCTTTCAAGGGACGGCTACTTTTTGTTTTTTTCTTAAGTAGAAATATGTTAAAGAAGTGCTACTTTTACCTGAGTACAATTTGTTGGTACTTTATCCTCTTCTCAATCTATATAATGGAAAATGGGTTTTCTAATTCACTGGTTTTAAAATTAATCTGATCTTTTTCTTACTCTGCTTGGCTTCATAGATCAAGATATATACCAACTCAACTTCAAAAAAAGAGAATCCACCATATTAATGAGCACACAAACACACTGTAATATAAAGTCCCAGTATTTAAAGAAATTCATGCGGTTTAACTGTTAGAAACATTCATTCCAAACATTATTAAGCTTCGTTGAGGCTTTTTGTGTTGCCATTATCCATTCTACAAGCTCATTAGCAATATCTGTATGCTTCAGTAGTCTGGGTCAAAAGACTGGGCAGCTATTCTTTTGTAGGTCAGGAGCAGTGGAACTTTGGAAACCACCATAGTAATTAATGCGCACGCATGCAAGGGGACATTACAAGGCAGGCCTGGCATGCTCGTTGGGGTCCACAGCTGCAGAGCCAGCAGGTGTGTTTCTTAACCATATCTTTCATTTTGTCCTATTTTCACTGCTTGCACATACTTTATCATATACTCTGAGCTGAAATAGCGGGGGGGATGTGTCACTTGCAGGAAAACAAATGTTTCCCTGCAGAAATCCATTCAGTACAGCAGTCACAATAACAGAGTGTAGAAATAAGGTTAGTAAACAAATGTTTTATTTTGGAAAGAACAGAAATACCTATTTTATATAGCCATTGCCACTTAGTGTTTTCCTAATGTATAACTAAGTATGACACAATGAAGGCAATTAAGTGCAACAAAGACACAAAATTACATAATTAGAGAAACTCTTGCTTTAAAATTTTAATATAGTATAATTAATGTTATACATAATTTAATTATCCTATGCTTTCTTCATGCATTTACCATGCTTCTCAGCTGCCATCAATGCTATCTGTAGTGGTATTGCACCATATATGCATAATCCTAATGCTAATACAGTAAACAATGACTAGAACCAAGACAGGTTATCTAAAAAGCTGAAAAGGATTTATAGATCATTCAAGTGCCTAAGGAAACACAAAGGCACTTTAAAAGGTGAATTTTAAAGGACGTACACACAGCCAGTATAAATCTCCTGAAATTCTAAAAGTACGACTGAATATTTTTCTTTTTTTCATTTCAGTAGTTCATTTTTAAAAATGCATCTCCTATATTGTACAGGTACAAAGGTACATTAAACACAGAGTGGTAGGTTTTAAGAGTCCAGTTCTTTTAATTTCCTTGAAAATTACTTTAAATTAAGTGAACGATAAAAACTGGCATATCTAATAAACAGATTACATGAGAAACCACCTTGTGAACCTTAATGAAGTAGATCTCCTCTCCTCTTTTCCATCAAACTCTGAAACCTTGATTACTAAATGTAGCACACATTTGCTTTCTTCCAGAGGTGGGTTGTAACTAATTACATTCACTTGAGTAACTTTAAAAAAAAAAAAAAAAGTAATTTTTGGAGTGTTGTATTTTACTATAGGCCTGTTTTATTTGTTCTTAAGTAATATTCTTAAATTTTGCTATACATACCTGAGTACAGTTTAAGGGTACGCTCCCCACTGCGAGATCAGGTAAATAGATGGTAAACAGTAGATATGATATCGCACTACCTACAGTGAAGACTGGTTTTATATCTCTATGTTGATTTTTTTTTGCCTGAATTTGTGATTTTATTATCATTCTATTAATTTACTTTTATTTGATTTTATACTTTTAATACCAGAATTTGCACACAACAGTCTGCCAGATTACATCATTCTAAACATTAAATCAAAACAATTACTTAGCACTTGAGTAGCTATTTTATGAAGTGTGTTTTTAACAGTTACTTGAATAATTTCTTGGATGACTACTTACTACTTCAGTTAAAAAAATGTAAAAGTAGTCCTACTCTTACTTGGGTAAAACATTTGTGTACTCTACCCACCTGTGCTTGATTCTAAAAAGAATCTGGATTTTATCATCTCTTTTGCTTGTGCACTTTTACTTGACACCACTTTTTCCTTCCGCCTAATTTTCCAATTATATGCTTCAATAAATCAGTCAGCTTCTTTTGCAGCTACCTTTCTGTAACGCACCCTGATCGGAGGGGGTGGACAATGACTGGATGTCTTTCACATCAGCTGTTTTCTACATGACTGTCAAATATAATATAACGTTGTGCTGTTTTAAATTATTTCATTATTGGTCTCCAAGTCATGATTATACAGAAATGAAGAAATAAACTCTTAAAACAAATCACTCTGGATAATGAATGTGAGTTTTACTTTTTTAAATGTAGCTACGTTCTATTTATGTACTACTATCTCATATTCTTTTGAAAATGACATTCCAAGATCATGACTTTACAGGAGGGGAGGTTGCCACCGGGGAGACCTGTGTTTCTGTGGGGCTCTGGATTATACAGGTGTCAATTGGCAGCTGTTGGGACAGCCCCTGTCCCGGATGCCTCTGAGGCCTGCCGCCACCAGCTGTGATGTGGCCCAGCCGAGGGTCAGAGTCTATCTCGTATCGGTAGTGATAGCCCTCCAGAACGTCCCTGCATGCATCCCTTGTTTCTATGATCCATTTCTTCATACCATTGCGATTTAGGTAGAGCACAAAGAGAAAAACCATGCCAACAAAACCCAGTACCACCCCAAGAAAAACATAGGACGTCTGCAAGGTGAGGTCAGTCCCCTCAGCCAGGACCGGAACTACACAACCAACGGCTTGGACGGTGAGTCTTTGTAGCCGAACGTCAGCCAATTCCTCTGGTGACGCACACCTCACCATATCCACATCAACACGACCTTTGGTTTTATTCAGCCAGGTCACAAAATCACGGCTCTCACAGGAACAGGTGTACGGGTTGTGGCCAAGAAAGATTTGAGCGCTCCCAAGTCTCTCCAGCTCCTGAAGAGCGTCAGCCTTGAAGGCCTCAAAGTTATTGTGTGTCAGGTCCAGCATCTCCAGCTGATTAATACCAGAGAAGGTCCCTGCATAGACAGCCACCAAAGCGTTGTTCCTGAGGAAGAGCTGCTTCAAACTGGGAACTTGGGAGAACATCCCAGGCGATAGAAGGGCTAAATGGTTTCCAGAAAGGTCAAGGCGTTTGAGACCCCAGAGTCCACCCCAACGAAGAGCTGTGGCCAGGTCTGTCAAGGCGGTGAAATTGTGCAGCGAGCGGCTCAGGTTGAGCTCCTGAAGAGGGCTTCCAGGTATGCTGAGAGCTTCTGGATGGATGAGCGCCAGCTGGTTGCCACTGAGGTCCAAGGAGCGTAGGTAGGGAAGGGCAGCGAAGGTGTGAGAGGCCAACTCTGCAATCCTGAGAAGACGACTAACACTGTAAAAACTGCTCTTACACGTTTGATACAATACTAATGGTAAGTAATATACCGGTATATAAAATCACAAAAAGATGAATAAATACAGCCAAGAATAAAGCCTTTATTTCTTTATTACGTAGACATCAACAAAGTTACTTGTATTAACCAGATATGGCATAAAAATACATAACAGGAACACATAATGACATTCTCACCTGTTATTGCTTAAAATCAAGTTAGTGACATTCTGCAGTTCTGTAAACGACTCGGGTCCGATTTGATGTATATTATTCCCTGTGATGATGACATTCCGGGTGTATCCTGGAATGTTTTGTGGCACTATGAGCAAATCCTTAGAGACACATTTCACCGTGTGGGTGGCCGCAAAACATTCACAGCCAAAAGGACACTCCAAGCACGGGTAAGGTGGAAATAAAAGGACACCCAAAAAAACACAAGCTGCAAAAATGCACATCTCTAAAGAGAAAGAGAGAGAGAGATACAACTGGAAATAAAGAAGTTGCAGAAGAAAATAACAGCAGAGGAAAATTGTGACCTCTTCCTGCGGATGCTTAACTAATGCTGCACTAGTGGCGAAGGCTGCTTGCGCTAGCGATAGTGCCTTCTCATCTGCTCCACTGTGGGAATAAGGGTTCCCACAAATTGATGATAGCTCATATCGAACTGGATCTGCTTGCTAAAAAAAGGTGTGAGGTTCCCTTAAAGGTACAGAGGACGATTAGATTGAAGCGCCCAAACCTAGTTGACCTACACTGCAGTTTGATAAAGGACAACGACTAATGATATCAACAATAACTTGCAAAACAACACATTAAAGGTGAAAAAGATACAAAGCAGTTGTGGGTAGACAGCTTTCCCATCAGATCAGGTAATAATCCTGGTCCTTGCTCCAGTAACATAACAGGTTACAAAGTTAGAGAGCATTCAGAGCATTTGTTTGTGATTACAGGAAAATAATAAAACAGAAAAATTCAAACACACTCTCAATTTTTTTCATATCCTTCTATCTTTGGTAGCGACTCATCCTTCATTGACAAATAATTGATGAGAACTTTGAGCATTAAGATTTCAAAAATCCGTTTTGTAGCAATTCATCACTGGAGTCGACATTAGGCGCAGCAGAATGGATCCATCACTGTCGCTCATGAAAAATGTATCTTCCCACTCCATATTATAGAGATGATTATCCTCCGTAGGGTGACTACCCCCCACCCACTCCCACCCAACCCCAAAAAAAAAAACACACAACAGAAAGAAAAAAAATCAGTGTGAGAAAATATTTGAAGAACCTATAGGGCAGCTTACTAAAAACAAAACAATACTTTGCTTCAAAGGGCAAAGATGCATAAATATAAAAAAATTTGTGCAACTTAAATAAATAATCATACGGATGCTTAATTTGAAATGAACTTTTTTAGAATAAAAACGTAAATGAAGCTACCCGTTGTTGAAAAAACAAGGGGCATGTACCCCTTAAAGGGGTCATAGAATGCAAACGTTTACATTGCCATAGATGAATAATGATAGTTCAGTGGGTGAAATGGAAGCACAGAGAAGTTCAAACCCCATCGACACCTTATTTCTCTGCAAATCTCACAATTGTAAACTTCAATCATTAAACGGGTGAATCCAAACGAAGCCCCGAGTTGACGTAAACTCGGGGATGGTGCCTTATTTGGTTCTGGCCTCTACTTTTGTCACATCACGAAATTGACATACAGATCAGCCCACTGGTTCACTGGCCCAATGGAGGGGGGGTATAAAAGTGTTGACAGCTGGGCTGCTGACTGGACCGGACCTCAGCAGAGAGCCACGAGCCGCCAATCCTCAGCCGGAGGACGGGAACTGGTAATGCAGACGGGGGGAAATACTGGGTTACCGGTGTCCAGGCTACCGGGTTGGGTTCATATGCTCCATCCCCCGCCTGGCTCCCTGCTCCCGTCTGCCGGGGTTCCCGGAGCTGACGGCTCAGTTCGAATGCCCGGTGTATTTTGAAAATTCGCTGCACTGTAGTCAACCAAAATCCTGGACAATTTCGAAATCGTCTGGAATTTTACAATTTTTTTAGGTATGAAAAGTAGGACATGTCAGGGAAAAAGAGGACGTCTTGTCACCCTACCATATCAACAATCTAAATGTTTCAGTGAGTGAGTGCTTGTTGCTATGATGCGTCTTTGTTCAGCAGCTTCTCTCGTTTTGAACAAACCAATCAGCGCACTGCTCATCTAAATATTCATGAGCATACCATGAAAGGAAGAAAACCTGTCATTTCATTCTAGGGATTTTAACCAGGCTTGCATTAGGGCGCATGGAACAGCAAACAGGCCAACCAATGTTACACACCCTATTCAAAGACTTTAAGGACCATCACCAAATCCCCTATATAATCATTCTATGACCCCTTTAAAGAATGATAATGGGTTTTGTGGATACAGTCTGTTGTTACACTGGGGATGCTTTTAACAGATGTACTATAGTGAATGGATATGTGGTCCCTCAGTGACAGCAAAAATAAAAACCTGGTAAGAACATGGATTGAAATATCACAACCAAAAACTATTTCTCCACTGGAAATAGTTTTACTCCTGATTAACCAACAATTGGCATGTTTGATGTCAATGGTGTTAAAACCCAGAGATAAGGAAAATGTTTTCAGATATCTTTAGCAGGACAAAATCAGCCAGACTATTAAAGGACTGTTTTTTATTTTTTTTTATGTGAGTACTAAGTTCAGTAAGTAAAAAAATGCTTTGGTTCACATCAGCTATTATTTTTGTGTATCTAATGTCTTTATAAAACCTTTTTCTAAAGTCCACAAATCAGAATAAATCTATAACTAATCTCCCAAATATTCTCCCTGTAATNCGTTCGAAACACGCCCCATAATCACAGCTCTATGGAGCAGTATCAGACTCATATTCTGACTAGAATTGAGTCGGACTACGTCAGGCTAATGAAAAGTAGGACATGTCAGGGAAAAAGAGGACGTCTTGTCACCCTACCATATCAACAATCTCAATGTTTCAGTGAGTGAGTGCTTGTTGCTATGATGCGTCTTTGTTCAGCAGCTTCCCTCGTTGTAAACCAACCAATCAGAGCACAGCTCATCTAAATATTCATGAGCATACCATAAAAGGAAGAAAACCTGTAATATCATTCTAGGAATTTTAACCAGGCTTGAATTAGGGCTCATGGAACAGCAAACATGCCATTTTCAGGCCAACCAATGTTACACACCATATTCAGAGACTTTAAGGACCATCACCAAATCCCCTATGTAATCATTCTGTGACCCCTTTAAAGAATGATAATGAGTTTTGTGGATACAGTCTGTTGTTACACTGGGGTTGCTTTTAACAGATGTACTATAGTGAATGGATATGTGGTCCCTCAGTGACAGCAAAAATAAAAACATGGGAAGAACATGGATTGAAATATCACAACCAAAAACTATTTCTCCACTGGAAATAGTTTTACTCCTGATTAACCAACAATTGGCATCTTTGATGTCAATGGTGTTAAAACCCAGAGATAAGGAAAATGTTTTCAGATATCTTAAGCAGGACATAATCAGCCAGACTATTAAAGGACTGTGTTTTATAATTTTTATGTGAGTACTAAGTTCAGTAAGTAAAAAAATGCTTTGGTTCACATCAGCTATTATTTTTGTGTATCTAATGTCTTTATAAAACCTTTTTCTAAAGTCCACAAATCAGAATAAATCTATAACTAATCTCCCAAATATTCTCCCTGTAATTATAAGAAATAGATTCAGTTTTTGTATTTTTTATTTCTACATTCAACAGCAGTGCTTAACTGCTGCTGTGGTCTGCTTTGTATGTCAGTATTTTACCTTCCTTCACTTCGACCAATGTAAAGAATTAGTTTAGAGTATTAGGTATGAAAAACATGTTAGAGGCAGCTAATTGCAGACCCAGTTAAATACTGTCCTCAAAGAATTGATTTCTGAGCTACATTCTAACACAAGTCAGAATGCGGCAAACACAAAGTGATCATACTGAGAAAGATGTGACCCTGTAAGAGTTGATAATAGAAAGAAGGATTTTTTTTTGGATATATATATATATATATATACTAAAGCCTTTCTGTGCACATCCAAGAAACTACATTGGACAGAACTAGAGAAATGATATTCATCTGAAACCATATTCGAATGCTTTAAATTACTTTTCTGTCACAATTGGTTTTTACCACTGTAGTAAATTACAGGCACACTAGGCTTTAAAAAAAAAGACTAAATCCCTCAAGAGGATGCCCTTTTGATCGGTCTCCAAGCTGCTGCTGGAAGACAAGGTTCCCCTGACCTACAACTATTATTATTTACAGTATATTTTTTAACCTTATGAACTAATGAATATTGCAAAAACAGGTTTGCATTATGAGGACATAGTGTTTTTTATGGGTTCCACATTGTCAACATCCCTTTTCAGCAACCCTCGCCTTTCCTGATATATTCTTTGATACTTCCAATGAAATAAATGGACTTAACTACCAGGAACTACAAGCCTGAAGACAAGTGATAAGGAAAAGTTGTAAAAATGATCATATGTGTCCTTTAGAAACTACAAACAAACAAGAAAATGGTTAAATTAAACACAATCAGAACTCCATATGATATTTTGTTGATCTGGCAAATGTCCCATCAAAACACGCACTCATCATGTCAATGATAATACAGTATTCAGTATAACTAAAGCCCTCTCCCGATGCCGCTCGCCGTTTTACTGTAGGTTCAGCGTCAGAATGAATGTGGCGAGGACTCCACAGAGCATGACGAAGGGAAGCCAGGTCTTCAGGACTGCTGCCCAGCTGAAGAACAGAAAGTGTGTGTTAAAAGTCAAGAAAAACAGCAGGAAACATCTTGTATAACAAATGCTCTTCTAGTAAATTCTAGAGACTTTAAATCCCCTGAGGCTCCCTGACCTGCGTCCTGCCATCCTATCCAGCTGAGAGGTGACCTCCAGAGGTGGCGCAGAGGGGATGTCAGTGATGAATTACACTAGTCTCTTTGCTGAGGGGAGGGGGGTATATAGGAAGCAGCAGCACAAACTGTGGCTGTATTATTCTCTATGTGGGTCAGTGGAGAATAATGAGCAGCTTCCTGGTGCTGTATGTCTCTCAATAGAGCTGGAAACCTTCAGTGACTTATTTTTCCAGACACTACACACATGTCAGACATAAAGACATCTTATGTTTTATATTTATTTTACAGCTCCCTCTAAAATCCAAATTTCTAAAATCTTTTTTTTTCCCTTTTGATTCATCCCATATCAAATTGATCCTCTGTAGGATACAGAAATGGATTTTGAGTCGTCAAATAAAAGTACTCAATCCTGCCTATTCTAGCTCAATTTGATAATATTATCTCTAAATTTCCTAAATGAATTACTGTACAGTAGGCTACATTTGTTTACATTTCTTCAAGGCATGATCATGAAGATTTAATGGGTGAGCTCTTTTTACGTTAACTGGAAAGTCTAAAGCACAATGTAAAGATGCAGGAAGGAGAACAGGAGACTGAAAAAATGATCTCCAAAAGGGAGACAGCCAGTTTTATATTATCATAAAGCATAAAGGTAGGGACCTGGAAATAGGTACAAAAAGAAAAAAAGCCCCAACTTCATATGTAACGTTATCTACTGACATCATTAGTTTCCCACATGAATTAGCAACTTATAGACAAACATTTTAAACTTAGAACATACATAGAACTTTTTGGCCATAGATGAATTATGTTAGTAGGAGGCAAGGTCAGGTTATCAAGCCTAAGATCTCTGTACCACCAACTACCGAGCACAGTTGTGGCTGCATCATGCTGATGGGCTTTTTTTTAACCTGCTGGTGAAGTGTGGGTAATAAACAAGAACAAAAGTGCCTGGAAATTCTTTACCTTCAGCCTAAAATAAATAGATTATTGTTCTAGCACAATAGCTCTGTTACCATTTACCATCAAATTGGGCAAATTGTAATTAGGAAAATTTATTTATATAAATGGAAACTAAACAGAAATAAAAGAAAAACAAAAATAACTCTACTTTTTTTCAATACAAAGATTTTAACGCTTGAATGAGGTGGTTTTTCGATCGTAATGAAGTTTTACAAAACTGCAATGGAAATCACAGGAGTCACATGGTCTGCAGCCTGCTACACTACTTAAGTCGTTAAAGGTGTAATCATTCCCCATTCCTTCAATTGAATCATGAAAAAAAGTGGAAATTTTTAAAATGGTGCCTAAGTCTCAACTTTTCCCTCCCCAGTGATACGCGTCTCATCAGTTTTACATGGTATCTTTGTTACATGCAGAGCAGGTGTGTTAATGTGGCGTTTTTGCTCTCATGTTGGTCACTTGAAATTCAAGAAGCATTTCACAGCAAAGACCTCTGTGAGTATCTGAAAAAAAAATAAACTGTTGCTCTACATAAAGATTGCTTAGGCTATAAGGAGACATTTAATAACCAGAAACTGAGCTGCAGGATGCTGGCTAACGCTAACAGGACAGGTTCCAATCAGAACGGGCCTCCCCATCATCGACCAAAACAGACTCCTCATCTAAAGATGATGCACAGTGGAGCCTTTGACCGGTTTACTGAAGCCAAGCGGACTAAGAACATGGATTCCTGGAACCATACTGTACCATGTGGTCTGATGAGAACAACATAAACTTCTTTAGTT